GCGCCCTATAGCAAACCTCTCAAAAAAAAAAAAAAAAAAAAAAAAGAATTTTTTTTTTTAACTTTTATTTATTTATTTTTGATTTGACCAGAAAGGGACAGAGCAAGAGAGAGAGAGGACAGTGAGAAGGCAAGCCATCAGGTCCGGGACTCAAACCACGGTAGACCATGTGGGAGTCCAGAACATTTAACCACCATACTGCCTGACGGCCTCTCATTTATTTTAATTTAACCACAGAGAGAGAGGGAAAGTGAGAAAGCAAGTCATCAGGTCTGGCAATCAAACCACAGTTGACCATGTGGAAGTCCAGCCTCTTAACCACCATGCCACCTGCCGGCCCCAAGGCAGATATTTTCATATAATCTTCGCAAAAGATCTGTGAGGAAATGTACACATGTAATAGTACTGTCTCCATTTTATGTAAGAATTAAGTTCAGTAATGTTAAATGACTTACCTAAAGTCACACACCAGCTTTTCATTTCCTCTTCTTCCCTGCACACTCTCCTCCCTTCCTCTTTTGGCAATTACACAGTCTAATCACCACTGGACTATCAGTAATTCTCAGAGGTCTTACTTTGAAAGGTTAATGGCAGAACAAAAAACAGAATCTCAGGACGGAAAAACTATTAGTAAAAGTACTACTATTACCATATACCACATCCCAGCCCCAACCCTGGAGTTTTTGGAAAAAAAGCAAAAGAGATTTTGGGGCGGGGAAGGAAAAAGAGGAGAAAGTCGGAGTATAGACCGAGACACCGTGGACTGTATGAACACGGGTTAACTGGGCAAAGGCACCAGAGGGGATTATAGGATGTTAGAGCCGAAGGGAAATTCGAAGGTCATCTGGTTAATCCGACCCCCTCACTGGACAGAGGGGGACACTGAGTGCCACCGGGGATTAGAGTCTTGCCTGAAGCCCCCAAGTCGGTGACCATCAGAGCTAAAACCCGAGCATCCTGCCTCCTGGCCCAAGTTCTCTCTGGTTGTGTTCAGTGAGATACCTAAGTCAGAACACGACCATTTTAGTGACCATAAACTCTCTTCTCGTTTTCCTTGACCCCCAAGCTCTTACACACAAGGGGGTCTTTAATAAGTTCAGGGAAAATGCATATTAAGAAAAAAATTATGCTCGGATTTCAATTTTTGCATCAGTATAAATTGTATTTTAACTTTTCGCAAACCTTTAGAAATCTTCTACTATTTCTGTCAGTCTGCTTTAAAAGGTTCCGTTTCCTTTTACTCTGAGCAGGCCTTGAGGTGTGCGCTCTGCGTATGCTTACTCCACAGCACTGTTTCCCACCTCCATCACTGGGTGTCCCCATGGCGTCGGCTGTGAGTGGAAAACTTCCAGTCTTCCTCTGGGTAAATCTGTGTGTTCCAGGCACTTGGTCTGGCCCTGCTGCACCATCCTCTCAGGTACTGGGTGGCTCATTTTTCCTAGTTAAGTACAAGTGAGGCGTAAGGTGGTCACAGGGACTAGCCACACGAGGGCATATCTAATGCTGTATTTGAGAAATCGTGTACAGTCAATGCTTCTAGGATGTTACTGAAGACGATGAATCAGTCATAAAACAAAGCAAATCCACTTTGCTTGGCTAGGTAGAAACATGTTTTTAAAGGAATCCATGTGTGAACCAGCTAATCCCTGACCAAGCGAACACGCATCACCATCATAAGAATGATAATAACAGCTGTCAGCCAGCTCTCCGAACCGCATTTTGTACATATCATTTCAGTGCTCACGACCATCTTATATAGTAGCTATTATTACCTCCATTTTACAACCTGGGCTCAAACAGGTTAATTCACTTGCTTAATCACTTCCCAGCCAACTTCTCAGACTGTGAGCTCTGCTCTGTGTTCCTCATCATTTTAACCAAGGGCTCTCTGGTTTTACTGAGCTAACAGCATCGTGTCTCCGGAGAAAGTCAGAACACATCTGCATGGCCCTCAAAAACATAATTTGGTAATCCTTCTCCACAGAAATAGCCTGTACTAAGGATAAAGACAAAGAAACTGGTAGTCAAGGGCAGGGTAAACCCAGGAACCTCCCCAATCCCACCCTCATACTAACCATGTGGATAAAAACAGCACTCCCACCTAACCTAGATGGAATTCAAATATTTCATCTTCATCATTTCGTTCCTCTTCTGACAGATGTACTAGCTAATATGATCTTGTACAGCCTGATCCACATGCCTAGCATGGTGACTGGAACACGGGAAGCGTTCAATAACTACTGCTTTGAAATACTGAGTGAAACTAAGGAGCATTTGTTTTCTTCTTTGATAATAATAAATGTAACACCTGACATCATGCATATTAGACTCTCTTCTAAACTCTTCATAGGAATTACTTTAGTTCATACTCAGCACAACCCTACAGGCAGGCATCAGTTTTACACTTGAGGGACCAGCAGGTGGTGTGGTAGTTAAGGTGCTGGACACTCCCACATGGCTGATCATGGTTCAAGTCCCAGACCAGGTGGCCTGCTTTCTCACTTTCTTTCTCTGTTTGTGTGTGTGTGTATGGTCAAATTAAAATAAAATGAATGAACAAAATTAAATAAAAATAATTCTTAAAAAAAAATTTTACACTTGATACTGAGGCTGAAAAAGGTTAAGTAACTTAGCTCAAGAACAGTAAGCCACCATTCTGGAATTAAAACTAGATCTTATCTCAGATGCAATTTTTCTTTTTTTTTTTAGAATTATTTTACCTAACTTCATTTATTATTATCACTTCAATATTTCCAGAGAGAGAGAGAGAGAACATGAAAAAGCAAGCCTCTAGGTCCAGGACTCAAAACATGGTAGGTCACGTGGGAGTCCAGTGCCCTTAACCACCATGCCACCTTCCAGCCCCACAAACCCAATTTTCATAAGCAGTATCTTCACGAACAATAATAATCACTGTTTCTTTGTATTTACCACTTACTGTGTTCCAGGCACAACGCGAAATATTTTACATTATATTATGAATTTAATTCCTATACAACTCATGTATTCCCATTAATAGGTATTATTTCTTCCATTTCTCATTACTACTATGTAACCTTGGATAAGTTTCTTGACTTCTGAAACTCAGGTTTTCATCAACAAAATAAGATGATCCAAATTTGCAGGGTTTCTATGACAATTCCAGAGACTATATGTCAATCATCTAGCATGGTGTCTTTGTGTCCAGGAAACAAAATGCAATAGCCCTGCCCTGAAATCAACTTTGCATGAATCCAATTTACTGAAGACTACTTGGAGAAGCAATTAATTTACAAGCCAGTATCTTAGGCAGAAATATTTAACCTACACCCAAACCCCAAACAAAATGCCTCAGATCTCTTTCAGCCTGAGCTAGCTGGAAGCAACTCTCTTGTACAATGAATGTAGGTTAGTTTTCAAAAGGAAAGACAAGGGTCTCTTGGGTGACCCTAGCCTAGAAAGTCCAGATGTGGTTGAGGTGCCTACAAAGGATGATTCCAATGATTCCAACAGCCCAGTTGTATGCAGGAGAATATTTTCCCAATCAATAATCAGCTCAATGGGTTGACAAGTACATTGTGATTTTTTTCAAATTGAGATATTGCATACATATAATAAAGTGCCCTAACCTTAAGTGTTCACTAGGTTGTTTCTTTGTTTGTTAGTTAGTTTTTTAATGTATGGATACACCCCTGCAACTCTACCTAGAACAAGATATAGGACATTTCTAGCTAGCACCCTATAAA